ACGAGAAAGACAATTTTTATTTAGGTGTTGCTCCTTGTAATTAATTAAGAAAAATTGTAGAAAAATTACCATTCTTTCTTATAACTGATGAAGACAATTCGTATTTATCTTCTTGTGATTAGTACAGACAATTTTCATTTAGGTCTCGCTTTTTGCAACTGATTGTAATTAAAGCGAAAAGAATTGTATTTAGCCGTTTTGTTTCTTACAATTGATAAAAACAATTTTCGTTTAGTACTTGCTGCTTCTAATTAATGCAGAAAAATTGTATTTAACTACTGCTATTTAACTACTGAATAAAAACAATTTCCTCGTAATTAATACAAAAAGATTTCATTTGGTCGTTCCCTCTTATAATTGATAAAGACAAATTGTGTTTACCTCCTGTTTCTTGTAATTAATGCAGATAATTTAAATTTAGGTCTCGTTTTTTATGATTAATTAAGGAAAATTGTATTTTGCCATTACTTCTTACAAACGATGCACACAATTTTCATTTAGGTCATGTTCTTCGTAATTAAATGCAAACAATTTCCACTTAGTTCTTGCTTCTTCTAATTAATACAAAAAAATTGTATTCAACCTTTAATTCTTACCAATTATGCATATAATTTTCATCCATGTTTTGCTCTTTGTAATTTAATGCAAACAATTTCCAATTAATTCTAGCTTGTAATTAATGCAAAGAAATTGTATTTGGCCATTACTTCTTACAAACGATGCACACAATTTTCATTTAGGTCATGTTCTTCGTAATTAAATGCAAACAATTTCCACTTAGTTCTTGCTTCTTCTAATTAATACAAAAAAATTGTATTCAACCTTTAATTCTTACCAATTATGCATATAATTTTCATCCATGTTTTGCTCTTTGTAATTTAATGCAAACAATTTCCAATTAATTCTAGCTTGTAATTAATGCAAAGAAATTGTATTTGGCCATTACTTCTTACAAACGATGCACACAATTTTCATTTAGGTCATGTTCTTCGTAATTAAATGCAAACAATTTCCACTTAGTTCTTGCTTCTTCTAATTAATACAACAAAATTGTATTCAACCTTTAATTCTTACCAATTATGCATATAATATTCATCCATGTTTTGATCTTTGTAATTTAATGCAAACAATTTCCAATTAATTCTAGCTTCTTATAATTAATGCAAAGAAATTGTATTTAGCCATTACTTCTTACAAATTATGCACATTATTTTCATGTAGGTTTTGCTCTTTGTAATTTAATGCGAACAATTTACATTCGGTTCTTGCTCCTCGCAATTAATGCAGAAAAATTGTACTCAACTCTTGCTTTATCGCACTTAATACAAAAAGAATTCTATTCAGTTCCTGCTTCTTTTATAACTGACGCCGACGATTTTCCTCGAGTTCTTGTGTCTTGCAATTAACAGAAAAAGAACTCTGTAATTTAGTTCTTGTTTCTTACGACTCGAATCACGTCGGGCTCTCGTAATAGACGCGAGGAACGATTATTTCGCACGAAGATCCACGGTCTATTAACTAACATTAACGCTTGAACTTCGACCCAGACCACTATTTCCCACACAAAGCCCAAATCAGTGCAAATAGTGACAACGCATCATTGTGTCCTCATCCTTGCGACCAGATTTACGAAACCCGTCAAAATGACGGGTGAATTTTTTAATTTATGATAATATTATTATTCAATTATATTTTTTTTTTTTGAATGATAAAAATTAAATTTTTTTTAAAAATTAAATCAATTATATTGTTATTTATTCAATTTATATGTTACTTACAGCAAATGTTGCGATAACACTTGTTCAAAATCAGAATAAATATAATAAAATATATAAATAAATATAAATATCATATAAATATATGAATAAATATAATAATATTATATAATATAAAACAGCTGTTTTTGTGCTGTTTTTTGTGTTAACAAGCACTCTCTCGCAACACGCTTGCCACAACAACATGGTGTTACATATGTAATTCGCCAGTTGTTTCCCGATTAGATCGATCGCTATACTGTAATTTCTTCCAGAAATGTTCGAAGAATTGGAACTGAAACCGGCAGATCTGAGAATACTAAGTCGCGATTTTACGGGCTCGCGGTTCGTTTTTATAGAAATTCGGGACAGTCGACAAGAAAAAACAGCGAACAGCATGCCGATGTACATTAATTTCAATACATAGCAATGCTAGAATAAGAACGATGACTTAACTTTTTTATTTCTAATTTTTTGCCACGATTCGAAGGCAATTCGGAGGCCACGTGACACGATTCGAAGGCAATTCGCAGGCCACGTGACACGATTCGAAGGCGATAGGCGTAGGACTAGCACAGGGAAATTTACAGCAACCCGAAATTTGGCATTTCCGTGAGAAATTACGGTGTACCCCCGATTTCGAAATCTAACAACTTTTTCCCCCGCGCCATCATTATCGTCCCGACAGAAAAACTTGGCCAAGGCGAGCCGGTGTTTCCCGAGCGGCATTTTTCGCGGCATCATTATATAATGGAATTATGCAGCGTCATCAGTCGGGCTTAATTACACTTTGTTCGCGATAGGATAATTACTCGCGAAATCACCGGCGCGCTGCCTCATCGAGGGCTCATTTATTCTCTCTGTCTCACCCCTTTCTCTTCTCCGGATCGTTAAGCCGTTTTTTTTTTAATCTCGAGGTACGAAAGACCCGAACCACGGGTGTTATACAACGTAAAACGAAATCGTAATCTCCGTGAAAATCGGCCCAGTTATCCGCGGCTCGTGAAATCGCGCGAAAACTTCCCGAGTTACTGGCGAACTGCGGCTTTTTCGATTCGGAATGCGAGTTTTTATCGAGCGACCGTAATGATCGCGATCGTTTGGCATAAATGAAATCAGGGTGGAGGGGGGAGAGTTTATGGCATCATTCTACCGGTTTCGAACTTAGGAAGTACGGACCTTCGATCGTTGCGGCGTTTCATGGTTTCACGGAAGCAGGCTCGCACCTGCAGATTTTTATCTTGGAGACTCTGGTTCGTCGGATCCGATTGAAATTTGTCACGTTTTAAGCGGAAGGCTTTTGGTCTACCGTGGACAATCTTTCGTTTCGTTCGGGAAGCTTTTTTCAGGAATTTATCTGTCGCAGGAATATATCGATTGGAGTTATGCTTGAGGGGACGAAGAGAGCTTAGATATTGGCACTTAAATAGAGATATATCGTACAGGGAAATTGCTTGAAAATATTTTTAAAAATATAGCTGTGTTTCTTTAATTTTCAGCTACAAAATGAGCTTCGTTTTAGCACGATATTATTAAAATTGGCGATTTGATGAGCAAATGAAGACCGTTCGCGTCCAGTTCGTAGATACGACGTCCACCAATTCATTTTTGTAATTTTCACCTGGAAAATCTTCACTTCGAAAATTCAACAAAATACCGTCATGTTCCTTGAACATTCAGCTACAAAATGATCACTGTTTCAGGATGATATCATTAAAATTAGCGACTTGATAAGCAAATGAAGACCGTTCGCGACCATTTCGTAGATACGATGTCAACCGATTCATTTTTGTAATTTTCATCTGGAAAATCTTCACTTCGAAAAT